TGCCCGGTCAGGTGGTGAGTCCCCTGTGCCATTGCACAACACCACACAACTAAACAGGAGCAGTGTAACTTCCAAAACCGGTCAGAACCGGGGTTCCTGCTCTCCGGGGGCCGTGCCCATCACCAGAGCCCATCTCAGGTCAGCTTGGCTCCATCTCCTGGTGCCATCCCACCTCTCCCCCGAGGCCTTGCCCGGTGCCGGCTGCGGGAGGGGAAGCGCCTGTCGTCACCCCCGGCCCCCCAGGCCCTGGCTCTCGCACTTTGAGCACCCCGGCTGAAGGAAGGTCCGTGGGTGTCTGCTGGCGTGGCCATGCCCCCTCTGGTGTCACCTGTGCGTGTCCCCTGTGTGGCTTCTCGCTCTCCTGTGGGTGCTTTGTGCCTCCCTTGGTCCCCGGCGTTGCCTGGGAAGGATTGTGTGTGCTCCCCCTGGGCGCTGCCTGGGAGCTCAACTCCTAGAGAAGACCCAGAGCATCCTCTCAGGGTTAGGGGTTTGTGGTTGGCTTGGACCAAACAAAGTCTGGGTTTGGGGTCAGACAGTTCAGCTGATCGAGCTGGAAACCCAACTTAGGAAGGGCGTGAGGAGGTGGAAGGTAATGACCAACCCTTTCTGCAGATACATGGGTTTAACTGAGCTCCAACCCATCCCAGGACAGCACCAGCAGCATCTCTCCTGTGTCTGTGGCATGGAGCGAGGAGGAACTCGCTGCCTCTCAGCTCAGGTGCCTCCTCATCCTCTGTCCCGTAACTTGGGAGAGCATCTCCTGCTGCCTGGAGATCCTCTGATGCTCCATGTTGCTTTTTGCTGCCTCATTAGTTAAATCTCAAGCCGTATAAACTCCTGGAGAAAGTCTGTGAAGTTTATTCCTGTTCTAACAAAGCGCTGCCCCTTAAACCTAGGCAACGAGAGGATCACCCTCCAGGATGGTCCGTGCTGCTCGAGCTCGGCACGTTCCTCCTGCTGGGGGCTGGGGCTGAAGCTGGAACCATTTGCCCCAGAGCAGCAGGGTGTGAGAGCAGGTAGCAGGTTGTGGAGCTCCTGGAGAACTTGACTTTGGGGTGGACAGAAAGAGGAGAAGCTGTGTGATGTCCCCAGGGAGAAGGGAGCAGCCACTTCGCTACGGAGCGGGGTGAGAACAGAGCTGGAGCTAATTGTTTTGGGGAAAAAAATTCTGAAGTCCTAGAAAAAAAAAACTAGAAGGATTTTCCCTGCTTGGAAATTGAGCAGCTGGGTGGGAGAGGATGGCATGAGAGTCAATATAATGCTAATAAATCCCTATGGGGAGTTAATCAGTGGGAACTTTTGCAACTTTATTGCAGGTTCAGGTAAAGTTTGTTGTTCAGGCTGGGCTTTTTTAGGTGCCTGGTTCGGGTTAGAGCTAGAAGTTGAAGAGAAATAGGGGAAAAAAATAGAGTTGCATTGGCCGGGAATCGAACCCGGGCCTCCCGCGTGGCAGGCGAGAATTCTACCACTGAACCACCAATGCTCCAGCTGTGTGCCGCTGCCTGCACAGCTGCCTGCACAGCTGCCTGCACAGCTGCCGGAGCCACCTCCCTGCCTGGCCAGTGGCTCTGCTGCAGGGCAGCCAGCCAGGTGTCAGGGGCCAGTGACCCTCAGAACGCACCCTGCTGGAGAGGGACATGGGGGTGCTGAGCCTGGAGCCAAGGAGGCTCAGGGGAGACCTTCTGGCTCTCCACAGCTCCCTAACAGGAGGCTGCACCCAGGTGGGAGCTGGGCTCTTCTCCCAAGGAACAAGCAACAGGACAAGAGGAAATGGCCTCAAGTTGTACCAGGGGAGGTTTAGGTTGGACATGAGGAACAATTTCTTCCCCTTGAGGGTTGCCCAGGGCTGTGCCAGGCTGCCCAGGGCACTGGTGGAGTCCCCATCCCTGGAGAGGTTTCCAAGCTGTGGAGATGTGGTGCTGAGGGACATGGGTCAGTGGGGACCTGGCAGTGCTGGTGGAACAGTTGGACTCAGTGAACTTGAAGCTCTTTTCCAGCCCAAATGATTCTGCAGTTCTGTGAGTGTTTGAAGAGCTGGTGGTCTCTCTGCAAGCACACAGCCACGGCAAAGTGACCCTTGAGGGTCCATCCTGGGCTGGGGGTCGATGAACGGGGCAGGAGGGCAGCAAGGGCTGTTGGGCGTGAGCAGGGAGGAGGGGATACCTCTGGTTTCACTGGTGGGTTCCTCATTGCAGTACCCCTTTCTCTGGCATTTGTCATGCCCAAAATTCCCTGTTTCTAAGCTGATCCCCAGTGCGTTTGCCTCAGAACCTGAACCCCCCACGTGCATTCCTCTTGTTTCCCCAGGCTGGTGCGAGAGTTCGTGGCTCAGAACAACACGTCCCAGATCAAACACGTGATCCAGATCCTGTCCCAGGAGTTTGCCCTCTCACAGCACCCCCACAGCAGAAAAGGGGGACTCATTGGCCTGGCCGCCTGCTCCATCGCCCTGGGCAAGGTCAGAGGGGGGAATGGGGGGATTTGGGGGCTTGCATGGCAACAGGAGCTCCTCCTGGGTCACCACGGGGAGACTTGACAGAAGTTCTACTTGCAGAGCACCTGGGTTGCTCGCTCTGGTTCAGGAGGTGGTACATGGATGCCCCCACACGGGAAATTTGGGGGGGTTCTCTCCCAGTTTAAATCTTTCTCTCTTTTCTCTCTTTACAAGCTTGGTAAGTTGTTGGAGCATCCAGGCCCTGTGGAAGGGAGCACGGGCTGGGCAGGGTCACAGCACCATCAGGCTTTTGAGTCAAACCACATGGCTGGTTTTTGAAAGGGAAGGAGTCAGTTTGGTCTGTAGGGACAGGCACGTCAGAGAAAGCAAAGGGCAGAGTGAACTGTGCCTGCTGGAAGAGCTGCGAGGTAGATTTTAATTCATTTCACTTCTAATTCATGAACGGGCTGCCCAGGGAGTGGGTGGAGCTACTCTCCATGGAGGGATTCAATAAATGTGGAGATGTGGCACTTCAGGGCATGGTTTAGTGGTCATGGGAGTGTTGGGTTGGTGGTTGATGATCTTAGAGGTCTTTTCCAACCTTAGTGCTTCGGTGGTTCTATTTGTTCCTCTTTTAACAAGAGTCAGGATGCTCTAAGCAGATGCTAGAAGCCTGGTGGCTTTTACTCTAACAACCTTGATGCTGCTCAGGGGTTTCTGAGCAGCACTCCTGGCTTGGTCTTGGTCCTCTTGTGCAGGTGCAGGGTCTCTTTACAAAAGCACCCTCTGTGGGATGGGCTCTGCCCTGCCCTCAGCCCAGGCACATAACCTGCCTGCTGCTCCTCTCAGGGACACACACTCCTGCTGCCAGAGCTGCCCTGCAGCTGGCGTGGCCAGATGGAGGAGTTGGTTTTGGTGGCCTTGAGGGGCGCAGATAACACTTGGGGTTGAACTCTTTAATCTGCTAGTCTGAGCCTTGTTGATTTTTCTTACCATCTCGTTTGCTAGATCATAGCATTGTGGAATGCTTTGAGTTGAAAGGGATGATTAAAGGTCATCTGGTCCATGCCCCACTGAAGTCTTCAGCACAGCAGAGGCAGGGACCTGCTGGAGCGGGGCCAGAGGAGCCCCAGCAATGACCCGAGGGGGGAACCCCTCTGCTGGGAGCCCAGCAGGAGAGAGTTGGGCTGGGGCAGCTGCAGAGGAGAAGGCTCCAGCTGGGGAGACCTTCCGGGAGCCTGCCAGGACTGCAAGGGGCCTGTCAGAAAGCTGGGGACAGACTTTTGAGCAGGGCCTGTTGGGACAGGACAAGGGGGGATGGCTTGAAACTAAAAGAGGGAGATTTAGACTAGAGAGAAAGAAGAAATGTTTCTCCTCCTCTGGGACGTGGTTGAGTTGGTTTTCTGGAGACAACAGGGGCTGGAATGTGCTTTGGGGAATGTTGGTTATCTTCTCTTTTTGTGAAGCCCTTACCACCAGCTCCTTCATGCTCCTCAACCCTTGACATTACAAAGAGTAGCCCAACAGACCAAGGGCTTCTTTGCTGACTTGAAGATGCAGGTGGGCTTGTTCTGTTGATGTCTCAGGTGTTCTTCCTAGTCCTGGAAACCTTGGTGGGCTTACATCAAAACCAGCCATGAGAGCGGGATAAACCCTGGCTGGGGGCTGACTGCTGGAGGGCTGGTGACCACAGGCTTTGCTGGGGACCTGCCTCATCTCCTGCCTGCAGGGATTCCTCTGTGGGCCATTTCTCAGCTTGCTCAGGTGACTCTCTCTGTACCTGAATAATATAATCAATCACTTTAGTCATAACATTCAGAATTCATTAATAAATCTCGTCCAGCATAGGTGCACTTAGTCCTCATGGGCCTGAATCTGGGCTCTGTGTTCCAGGGCGGCACCATCTCCTTCCCTCTGTGATGTGGTCCTCAGCTAACTGGTCTCCTCCTGTTCACCAGGACTCTGGGCTCTACCTGAAGGAGCTGATTGAGCCAGTGCTGACGTGCTTCAACGACGCCGACAGTCGGCTGCGGTACTACGCCTGTGAGGCCCTCTACAACATCGTCAAGGTGGCCAGGGGCTCTGTCCTGCCCCACTTCAACGTGCTCTTCGATGGCCTCAGCAAGGTCAGAAGCTTCCTCTCAACCTTCTGTGTGTTTATCTTTTCCATGCTGGAGGAGTAAGACTTCTTCTTCTCTAGTCCTTCTCTTCTCTGGGTCAAACAAATACCGTTGCCCAAGGCGTTCTTTCCAAGTAGAGTAGTTTGCTTTGACCCAGGTAGCTCTGAAGGACCAAATGAGCAGTTGCTGCAGCAGCAAGCTGGGCACTGATGTTGTGGGTGTTGGAGTTCACTTTAAGGTACCTTGTTCTCTTGTCCTCACCTCCCAGATGTATTTTCCTGCTCCTTGTTGAGTTGTGTTGGGAAATAAGGCTGACATGCCAGCTCAGGTGAGGTGGGCTTTGCAGTTCTGAGACTTTGTGGGGTCTGCAGGGTCAAAACCATGATTACGTGTGCCTGCCTCTGCAGCTTTTCACTGGACCTGCTCCTTGAGAGCGTGGCTGCTGGCTCATGAAAATCTGCCTGGCTGGGGCAGGCAATGAGTGCTTGGTATCCCCCTTAGGAATTCTCTCAGGAGAATTTGTTGGAGCCTAGTGAGGAGCTGGAGATGAGAAACTTCTCTGTGTCCATCCCCATAATGCCAGTAGAGAGCAGGAGGCCCGTGAGCCTGCTGGGAGCTTTGCTGCTGGGCAGGGAGCAGACCTGGGGCCCTCTACTGCAATGGCTCTTGCTTCTGTCATTCACAGCTAGCTGCTGATCCCGACCCGAACGTCAAGAGCGGCTCCGAGCTCCTCGATCGGCTTCTCAAGGTATTCTCCTCCCTCCAGCTGAGAATCCGTGGTGCAGGCTGCAGGCACGGCCTGGCTGGGGGTGCAGCAGTCCCCCAGCCTCTATAGCCATTCCAGCTCAGTCCCGTGGGTCCTGACAGGACGTTCTGTTCTCTCCCTGACTGCAGCCTCGGGGTTTGAGGCTCTGTGGTGGTCTTGGGCTGCTGGGTCCAGAGCCTGGTAGGTTATCACAGGGCCACAAGTCTCTTTGGATCTTGGGAGCCGGGTGTTTGGGGAAGCCAGGTTTTAGTCATCCAAGGGCTGAAGAATCCCTGCTGGAAGTCCAGCAGGAGAGAGTTGGGCTTGGGCAGCCTGCAGAGGAGAAGACTCCAGCTGGGGAGACCTTCTGGGGACTTTGCAGGGCTTCAAGAAGGCTGGGGACAGACTTTTGAGCAGGGCCTGTTGGGACAGGACAAGGGGGTGATGGTTTGAAACTAAAAGAGGGAGATTTAGACTAGAGAGATGGAAGAAATGTTTGAGACTGTGGGTGGTGAGCCCCTGGCCCAGGTTGCCTGGAGAGGTGGTCACTGCCCCATCCCTGGAACCATTCCAGGTGAAGTTGGCTGGGGCTCTGAGCAACCTGCTCTAGCTGGGGATCTCCCTGCTCCCTGCAGGAGGGTTGGACTGGATGGGCTTGAAAGGTCCCTTCCCACCCAAAGCATTCCATAATTCCAGTCCTAGTAGGGTTGCAGCCCCATCCCAGGCAGCAGAAAGGCTGCTCCTCTGCTTCTCCCTTTCTGAAGCAAACAGCGATGTGAGCAGAGCTGCTCTGCTGCTTCTCCAGGGTGTGGGCCTTGCTTCCCCTTCCTGTTCTGCCTCCCGTTGGGTTTTTACTCTCACAGACCTCCCAGTTCCCTTTCTGCTGTTCAGAGTTAAGTGGTTCCCTGCCAGCTTCCTGCTGGGAGACCTCCTCCACCATGCAGCAAAATCCACCAAGCGTGTAGGAAGAGCTTTAGAGGAAAGCCAGAGGACTCTGGCACGTGTGGGTGCGTCAGTGGTGCTGCTCATTTGTGCCACACACCACTGAGGCGTGAACTGGAGAAGCTCCTGTCCTCCTCCTGGTCAGCTGGGCTGGCACGCAGTGAGCAGGAGCCTCCCCCTCTGGGCTCTGCTCAGCGTTAGTCCCTGCCCAAATTACCTCATGATTCCTTCTCCCCAGGTCTCCTGACCCTCAGACCCACTCGTCAACCACGTAACATCTTTTTCCTGTCCGTGTCTGAAAAAAAGGGCTGGGTGGGGGTGGTTGCGTGGGTGCAGGGTGGTGGCCGTGCCTCCTGACCCCCTCTGCTTGGGCTTTGCAGGACATCGTGACAGAGAGCAACCAGTTTGACCTGGTGGGCTTCATTCCACTGCTGCGGGAGAGGATTTACTCCAACAACCAGTATGCCCGCCAGTTCATCATCTCCTGGGTAGGTGCACGCGTGGCCACCCCCAACCCCAAAACACCAGGAGCCATCAGCATCCTGGGTCTGGGCAGAGCAGGAATCCACAGCAATGTGTAACTGAGGCACCCAAATTTGCTTGGGCAGGTTTTTGAAGCCAGCGTTTCTTCCGCTGCTTCTTGAAGCTCCCTGTTGCAACTGGGGGGTATCACAGAGTTATTTAGGCTGGAAGAGAACTTAAGAGCATCAAGTGCAACCCAGCACTGCCAGGTCCCCACTGACCCATGTCCCTCAGCACCACATCTCCACGGCTTGGAAACCCCTCCAGGAATGGGGACTCCACCAGTGCCCTGGGCAGCCTGGCACAGCCCTGGACAACCCTCAAGGGCAAGACATTGTTCCTCAGGGACAACCTCAACCTCCCCTGGTGCAACTTGAGGCCATTTTCTCTTGTCCTGTCGCTTGTTCCTTGGGAGAAGAGCCCGACCCCCACCTGGCTCCAACCTCCTGTCAGGGAGTTGTGGAGGGCAAGATGACCTTGAAAGGCCTCTTCTAACCTAAACTATTCTGTGATTCTGTGGTACAGGACATTTCACATCAAGTTAGAAAGTACAGTTGAAGTTTCACTGCTATAAATAAAGCTACAGCATGGTCTGGATGTTACAGCCTCCCCAGGGAGAGTGCCAGACTGATTTCCACCACCCAGCAGTGATGGAGAGATGTTGCTCTCCAGGAGACAAGGCAGATCTGTTTGCTTTCTCCTTCCTGTGCCGGGCAGGTGTGGGGAGGGATGTGGTGCCTCTGTGCTGTCTCCTTCAGACATGGTTTGCCATCCTGACGGTGGCTCCATATCCTTGCTGTGGTGTTCAGAGCTGTGGGCGGGAGTGTGGCAATGGTGCAGGCTGATCAGGTGCTTCCTGAGCTAGTCCAGCTTTCTTCCAAGATGTGCAACTCCATGCTGTCCTCTTGGCCTTGTCCCCATGCCACCCAGCTCGGCACAAAGTCCCTCGGGACGGTGCCAGATCTGTGCCAGTGATCTTAGTCAGCTTCTCCAAAACTCACCTCTTCTTCCTTATTCCTCCCCTGAGCTAGATCCTGGTCTTAGAGTCCGTGCCTGACATCAACCTTTTGGATTACCTGCCTGAAATTCTGGATGGGCTCTTCCAGATCCTGGGAGACAACAGCAAGGAGATAAGGAAAATGTGAGTGTGGAGGCTGGCCTGGCACAAGGGCTGGGTCTTGCTTGCTGTCTGTCCATCACACTCTTCATTTGCTTGCAGCTCTTCCACACAACTGCAGGAAAACCCCACGTGTGTGGTGGGAGACAGAGAGCTTGGCCTGTGGATCAAAGTGTCCTTGGCAAGGGCTTCACTTCCCTGCCTTGTTGTGGCTGGAGTGGCTGTGGAGGACACTGTGGTCTCTGCTGGGGGGCAGACTGTTTTGGCTGGGTTGAGCTGTTGCCTTCCCAGGCCTTGCACTGAGTCTGGGAGCCACAGAGGCTCACGTGTGCTCCTAGGATAGGGAGGTGAGCTCTGTGAAGAAGCTTGTGGCAAGGTAGACCACCAGCCCAACATCTCCTGGGTGGGAAGGAGAAGCAAGCATTGCAAGCTTGCTCCTCAGATCCATCACCAATCTCAAGACAGAGGCATTTTGAAGCCCAGGAGTGACTGAATGTTCTCAGTGAGGCTGGAGGATCTTGGCTTCTTGCGTTGGGAGAGAGTAACCAGACCTGTTTTGCAGGACAAAAGTGGTGAGACTGGTCTGGATCTATCCTACTGCCAAGCCCTCCTGGATCTGCTGTGCTCCTCCCCTTGATCTCCACTGAGCCTGAGGGGCTCTCAGGGGAGCTGTGGGAAGGTGCTGGGGGCTCTGGGCTGGCATCACCTCCACCTTCAAAGCTGTGGGCAGCCTGCCTTGGGGCAGGGCGAGGTCCTCAGCCTCATCCTGCCCAGCCCAGCAGCCTTTCCACGTGCACGTGTCGGAGGCTGCTCTCCATAACTTCTCCATCTGAGGTGATGGAGCCCTGACCAGCTGCTCTGCCTCTCTGCAGGTGCGAGGTGGCTCTCGGGGAGTTCCTCAAGGAGATCAAGAAGAATCCCTCCAGTGTCAAGTTTGCAGAAATGGCCAACATCCTGGTGATCCACTGCCAGGCGGCGGGTGAGTGCCCAGCGGCCACCTCCGTAGGTTCAGGGCAGGAGTTTTCCACTGGGCTGTTCACCAGCTCGCCCACTTGCCTTTTTCTCTCTCATGGTGCATGCAAATCCTCCTGAAAGGGAGGAGCAAGCAGCTCTGCCATGGTTGTTCTCACTACTGTTCTTGAGCCCCGCAGCCTCAAATCCAAGTCTGGCAGCCTCCAAAGGTGGAGGTGCCTGGAGATAAAGTACCTGTGAGGATCCAGCAGATCTGGGAGGATCTCATCAGGGACTCTGAGGCTGCTTTGTTTTGATTAAACTGATGCCCAAGGAATTGGCACTGTTTATAGCCAAAATCTGGCTGTGCGTTGGCTAGCTGCATCCAAAATCTGGTTCTCCCTTGATTAGAACTTGGGGACATTAATAAAACTCCAGCTCCAGGAGTGATGCTTGACCCAGACATGCAGCTGCTGCAGGTGGGACAGAGGAAGTGTCCTGCTGCATGGGGGAGCCAGGCAGAACACTTGTCCATGAGGAAACCTGGATTATGGATTGAACAGGTTTAACTCTGAAACCTAATGCCTGGTGCAGAGGGGCTGGAAATTGCCAGGCAGAAAAGGACCTGGAGGGTTGGTTGACAGCCAGCTGAAGGTGGGCCAGTGTGTGCCCAGGTGGCCTAGAAGGCCACCAGCATTCTGGCTTGAGTCAGCACTATGGTGGCCAGCAGGACCAAGGCAGGGTTCACCCCTCTGGACTGGGCACTGGGGAGGCTGCACCTTGAATCCTGGGGTCAGTTTTGGGCCCCTCACTCCAAGAAGGATCTTGAGGGGCTGGAGTGTGGCCAGAGAAGGGCAACAAAGCTGCTGGGGAAGGGTCTAGAGCCCAAGTGTGGTGAGGAGCAGCTGTGGGACCTGGGGGTGCTGAGCCTGGAGCAAAGGAGGCTCAGGGGAGACCTTCTGGCTCTCCACAGCTCCCTGACAGGAGGCTGGACCCAGGTGGGGGTCAGGCTCTTCTCCCCGCTTCCCCCAAGGAAAAAGCCACAGGGCAAGAGGAAGTGGCCTCAAGTTGCCCCAGGGGAGGTTTAGGTTGGCCATGAGGACAAATGTCTTCTGCAAAAGAGTTGTCCAGGGCTGTGCCAGGCTGCCCAGGGCAGTGGTGGAGTCCCCATTCCTGGAGGGGTTTCCATGCTGTGGAGATGTGGTGTTGAGGGACATGGGTCAGTGGGGACCTGGCAGTGCTGGGGGATGGTTGAACTTAATGATCTTCAAATCGTTTTGGTTGGAAGAGACCTTTATGATTCTAATGACTGTGTCTAACCTCAAGCTCGCTGCAGGCTCAGGTCTTACCTCTGTCCTCTGGGACTCAATGGTCCCAGATGAGCCTTGGTCTGGAGGGAGCAGAAGCAGCTCTGTAGGCAGAGATCTCAGAGAACTCCCTCTGGTCCTTGGATTTCACCGGGCTGCCCGTTACCCTCACCTCTCCTTCTCCCGCGTCTCCCAGATGACCTGATCCAGCTGACAGCCATGTGCTGGATGAGGGAGTTCATCCAGCTGGCCGGCCGGGTGATGCTGCCCTACTCCTCGGGGATCCTGACGGCTGTCCTGCCCTGCCTCTCCTACGACGACCGCAAGAAGAGTATCCTCACCCGGAGCAGCTCCCGAGCCTGGGGGCTGCAGCAGCTCCCGGGGAGCGCCTCTTCCCTGCCCCAGGCTGCCTGGAAGGGGGCCAGGGCAAGTCCTCCCACCCAGTGCCCACGGCAGCCCCAGTGGGGCCGGGGGGGTTGTTGGTGGCGGGGCTGGGGCAGCCCTGGTGGGGCTCCGGTGGCTTCTCTGTGGGACTGCGTGTTCCTTACACCGCCTCCACTCAGACATTAAGGAGGTGGCCAACGTATGCAACCAGAGCCTGATGAAGCTGGTCATCCCAGAGGACGATGAGACGGATGAGGCCAAGCAGTCCATGGCCCTACCAGCAGAGCCCACCTCAGAGGAGTCCCTCTCCAAGCCGGAGGCAGCATCCAGCGGTGAGTCCCCTTTGCTCTGAGCTGTCAGAAGTGTGAGGAAAGTCACAAGAAGGTCTTCAAGAGGAGTGTTTGAGTTGGTTTGGCCTCCTGGGGCGGCTCGGGGAACACGGGCCCTCTGTGCTTTCTTTAAGCCTTGGAGTCCTGTTTCACAGGTGATCTTCTGCCGAGACAGACACGTTTGGTGCTGGCTGCATAGCAGGGTCACTGATTCAGGCTGTGAATCAGTGGACTGTGTTTGTCCTGGAGAGCACCAACACGTACCTGGAAGATGTGTGTCTTGGTAGCAAAAAGAAAGCAGGATAATTCTGAGTCCTTCCTAATTCCATGGTGCTCTTGAGACAATCATGTGGGCATTGTCCCAGAACAAAAAAAAAGGTTTGCAAGTGGTTTGGGAGACGTGGCAGAGTGTGCAGGGGAGAGGAGATGAAATGGAGGGTCCTGGTGGCCTGATGCCCAACAGCAGCAGCAGCAGCTTGAGCCCGCTCACATCCCTTTGATGCTCTTGGCCTGGGCTGGCTGAAGCAGCTCATGAGGTGCTACTTCAGCTTTGGTGTCTAGGCCTGTGAAATGGGGGTGATATTTAAATCACGGGGGTAACCCCCTGGGTTCTCCTGGAGCCACAGGTCCAGCCCAGGGCTCCTCTGTCACCCGCCTGACAGCGGCTTCTGGACAGTCCTGGTGAGAGTGGAGAGGGGGAAGGGTTTTTCTAGAGGAGCAGCAGGAGCCGGGGTGAAGGCGTGGGGCTGGGAGCTGCCAGGAGTGGC